TAAAAACATTGAAATGAATAGGGAAACCACAAGAGCTTGATTGTAGCAACAATTACCAAGTCAATTCACAGAAATTATTTGTATAACGTTAATAGTAAAATAAAATATCAGTATAAAATGACATTAATATATAAAATGCCAGTAGAAAATCTCATTCATGTCTTTCTGGCCTATTGTTGTCACGTGTTGGTTTCTGTTTAGTCCCTGTCTGTCATTATTTGGTTCGTTTCCTGCTCATTTAGTTAATCATCATTCATTAGTTTCCACCTGTGTTGTATTAATCATCTCGTTTGCTCCTTAGTTGCCTGCCCTTTATAAACCCTGAGTTTCTGTCATTTCTTTGTCTTGGATTAATGTTATTTTGAATGGTTTATGTGGTTGATGCTGATTAAAAATACTCCTTTACTCCTACTCCTTCGTCGTGCGCTCACTACAACCGCAACCGCGGGACAAAATCCAAGACCCATAACCGAAAGTAAGCGGCATGGAAACTGCCGCACTTTACGCCGCGCCTTTCACCCCGAGCCTAGAGGGGAATCTGTGGAGGAGAAGACTCTGTGGTTGGTTCTGGTCCTTAGAGCGCCGGCCGCTCGGAAGTCAAGACGGCCAGCTGATCACTCAGGACCGCCGGCCGCCGCGGGCTTAACGCTGTTGGACATGGCGCTGCCCCCGGAGTTCACGGCCCCTATCCTCTCTCCAGAATCGGCTCTAGAAAGCTCTCCTTCGTCTCCTTCGCCTCCGCTGGTCCCGTCCAGCCCTCCTTTATCTCTAGAGCGCCCTCCAGAGCCCGCTCCTCGCAAGCGCCCTCCAGTGCCCGCTCCTCGTAAGCGCCCTCCAGCGCCCGCTCCTCCAGAGCGCCCTCCAGTGCCCGCTCCTCCAGAGCGCCCTCAAGTGCCCACTCCTCCAGAGTGCCCCCCAGGATTCCTAGATTTCCCCAAGAAAATTTTGTAGGTGGGCCATATACCCGTGGCCGAGCGGGCTAAGGCCACAGAGGATCCGCCATGCCCTTCTGAGTCCCCTGATCCGCCATGGCCTCCTGAGCTACCAGCTCCGCCATGGCAACCTGAACTGCCTGCTCCGCCATGGCCTCCTGAGTCCCCTACTCCGCCATGGCAACCTGAACTGCCTGCTCCGCCATGGCTCCCGGAGCTCCCTGATCCGCTCCCTGATGGCTCTCCTTGTCTCCGCCCTGTTCCTGTCCTGCACCAGCCTCCAGGGTGCCCGCCCTCCCCGATGTTACTGTTACGGCGCGGGACGCGCCTTCTGGGAGGGGGGCGATACCTGTCACGTGTTGGTTTCTGTTTAGTTCCTGTCTGTCATTAATTGGTTCATTTCCTGCTCATTTAGTTAATCATCATTCATTAGTTTCCACCTGTGTTGTATTAATCATCTAATTTGCTCCTTAGTTGCCTGCCCTTTATTAGCCCTCAGTTTCTGTCATTTCTTTGTCTTGGATTAATGTTATTTTCAATGGTTTATGTGGTTGATACTGATTAAAAATACTCCTTTACTCCTTCGTCGTGCGCTCACTACAACCACAACCGTGTGACAATTGTGTGACCTTTTGAAGTAATTCCACGACGCAACAAAAATTCAAGTAAGAAAAACAGGAATTGAATAATCAAATGTAAAAATAATCACTGCATAGTCATCATTGTATGTATTCTTTACAAATAAACTAATAAGATACAAAAATTGTTCAGTCAAGAGCAGTGAGTTATTCGCTCTTTTCTTTTATTGTTTGATTAATATTAATGACAGACAGCAGCAGGTTTATAATTTCCCCAGCTATTCTATAAATGTTCACTTAAGACATAACCGATTATGTTTGCGTGAATACATCCCAAGATAGATATTTTAAAATACTGTAATTCTGTGTGTATCTGACCATTCAAGTGTAATACGCTGCTGATTTCGGGAACGCATGCTGAGAGAGGTGTTTTTCTGTTCCCGCTTCAGGTAGGCTATTTGTCAGTTAGAGCAGGTTGAGCATTGAGATCTTTTGTTTTTTGTTTTTTTGTAGCTTATTACGCTCGGGGGCATAAATTTCGTCTAACGGTAGGGGGGACAATAAACATAAAATTTCTCAAAAGCAATTTTTGAAGGTGACTCAAATAATACAGCTAAAATTGTACTTGTAAGGAAAAGTTTACACAGAAGAAATCCTTACTACTATTAGTGCAGCAGGGAGACCGTGCCAAATTAGACAACTTCAAGCTGTTGTGGTCGTGCCGCGACAGCGCTCCAGGGTTTTGCAACAAAACCCGGCCAGTTGCTACTCAAAACTAGCCCAATCGCGTTTGTAGGGGAGTTCTCCGGTAAAAAACAAACAAAAAAAACATCATGTTCCGGGGGGTAAAATACATGTTTTTCGGCAGGGTTCCTCCGGTAAGATTTGCAAAAACCCGCGGCAACAGTGTTAAAGTAGCCCAATTCGGTCTTGGCAACACTGAGGTGATGTAAAAGAGGAAAGCAGGCATTTGGACCAAAGCACTGTGAGGCAAGGGAGGGGAGA